GACAAACGGTAGATACATGAGGGGGGGGGTACCATATATATATATATATGCATATACGTGTACATGTAAAGTGCCCAGAGACAACCAGTGCGGGCAGGTGTCCTTATATAGGCAACAAGCATCAACAATCTGCGAGCCCTCACCCAACAGTCTCAAGGGTTCACGGCTTCAGGTTTGAACTGAGGTCTGTTGCAATGTTGCGTTGCTGATGTCAATGCATGTCTGTGAGCCACGCGAGCAACAACTTCATTCAAGCTGTGCTGGTGCCGCATCCGACACACACACACACACACTCATAGCACTGGCTCACTGCATATTCGTTTCCTTCGGGCAATCTGAAGCCCCAAGCTTTCCTGTGTGACTCTGGCAAAGCGGTGTGCAGTGCATACGAAGTGCATACTTTACTCAAAATCACAGGTTAGAGGCCCAGAAATCATTACTCAGTACTCACCTCTTCACAATGCCTTCCATGTAGGAAGCAACAACATGTCCAGTACACAATCAGAGATCTCGTTGGCGGTTCCAGTGCTCCCACTGTGCAATGTGAATCTGTGCAGCAAGCAACAAGGCGGATGCCTTTACATACTGGTTCCTGGAGAATCTGGCTTTGATGAATTTCCACGCGCGATCTACGATTTGGGTTTCCGCTTTACAGGAAATTCTACGGCCATCAGGCAACTTGTGCTTCGAGATGCGAACGAAGGTCGGCTTCAACCACACCCACTTGCCGTTCTTCTTGACACGCTTCTTCTCGTGCACCACTGCATCGTGCACAACACCGGGCAATTTCATTTTGTAGGAGCGGGCCGAATCCGTGTGGAGGATGAAATTTCGGTTTGCGATGTGCTTCAAGGCCAGAGGCTTCCAATCCACCTGTCTGATGGCACCAGGACCGGGCGCACGAGGAACTGTCATTGCTGGGGTTTGGCTTGGTCAAGACGAGGGTCTCAGGAGCCCCGCGCTGCACTATGGCTCCCCACTGCTCCCAGAGCACTGGTTTGTCATGGTTCACGCCGAGCTCCTGAGGAGAAAGGGTCTTCTTATCGAAGGTCGCTTCGTCGGCTTCGACCTCTTTCCAAGCCCTTGGACAGCCGCCGAACTTGATTTCCTTCTCCGCCTTTTGGACATAGCCCTTGCGCATGAGCAAGATGTTGCGGTTGAACTTCTCCAGGGCTTTGTGATTGATGTGTGTGAGCAAATGGATGCTGGACAGCGGAACATTGAGGAGACGAAGAAGAAGGGCTGCAGCCTGCATTTGAAGCGAGTGACCCTCTGGTTGAGGGAGAAAATAACTCTGACAGCCCTTCTTGTTGCACCTGTAGTGCAGGATGTCATCGCGGCCATTGGAGGTGAGAGGACCGAGCTTGCCAGATTGACAATGCGGACACACACAACCTTTCCAATTGGGGAGAATGCCGTCCGCAGTGAGAATCTCAATGATCTTCTCATTGCTTGCCGAAAGGAGTTCCTGGATGGTGCGGCGCCACTTGGCCTTCTCCATACGCACATGACCACCGTTATTGTCTTTGACATAAGGAATTTTGTTCCAAATCGCAGACCTCATAGCTGTGAAGGTCTCTTCGCAATCATCCGTCGAACGCCTTTTTTGGGAGGCGGGAAGGGAGGAAGCTGAGGAAGACCAAACGGACGTAGATACACACAACTGCTCGCTTCAAAATGGCAAGCCATCCATAACAAGTTTCCTCTGTGCAAAACACAACGACACATCAACGAAATCACTGAAAAGTGCCTGCTGCAAACTGTTTCGGCTGACTGCAGAAAAGTACGTTTAGCTGCCAACTGACTGGCAAGGTCAAAATGCCAGGGTGGCCCTTGATGGCGACTGCTCAAAACCACGGTAACTATGGTCTGACGGCACTCACAAATGGATGCTTCAGTGCTCTTGCTCTTCGTCCGGGATGGCATTGATTTCATCTTCGGGCTGTTGCGTCAGATTCTCCATGGGGTCGTCCGTGGGAGAACAAGCAATGTCCATTTCGCCGGCCGGGGAAGTATGGATAGCAGACGCCTCCTGGGATGCCCTTGACAACGTTAATTTCGGAGATGCTTTGAGATTCAGAGACCATTGAAGATGGTTAGCGTCTGCTCCGTTGGCGGACAGCTTGCCCCTCAAATACGCATGGTACCTGGGCCTTGCGCAGAAAGACACCATCCCGCGATCTGTGTCTGGCCAGGCATGGCGTTTCACATGCTCCTTTTTGGTACTGGGAGGACGGACGTAGATGCCAATCTCCGTGAAGACGACCACTGCGGAGCGCTTGAACACAGCAATGAGATCCTCTTCATTGAAGTCTCTGTGGAACGACAGACGCACGATGTTGAAAAAAATGTCGAAGGAAACCTCATCCGAAGAGACGTTCGGAGCCATTGGGGTTCCTGGTGGCGATCGTAAGGATTGGAGCACGCTTGGCAGAATTGGTTCTTCTCGTACGAAGACGCATTGTAGCGAACCGTTGTTTTCCGATCTATGCCGGAAACCTCAGTGACGGCCTTAACAGATGCAGGCGGCTCCAAATTTAGGTTCCGTCATCGAACACCCTGGGTTTCGTGCGACGGCCGCGCTCTTTACGGAAATAATCCAAGTGGTTCGCGGTTTGAAAGCAAGGCTTGTCGTCCGGGCTGTTTTCTTGAATCTTCCAAAAGGCAGACACCAGGTTGGCCATGGTGTACGACAAGGGGCTCTTCCCGATCTCGGACTTGCCAATCCAGATGATGGCATGCTCGAGGACGAAAGGCAACAACGGTGCGACGATAAGGTTTAGGGCCCATGGCTTGAAGTCTACCAAGGAAAGAGGCCAATCGGAAATAGTGTTGGGCTGGCTTCCCTGATCTGCAAGGCAGCGAAGAAACTGTTTCGACGTGCCTCCTCTATCCCACCGATAAAGGATGCCGTTGGGGTTGTTCACCTCCTCGTCTGTCCAACTGGTGAACTGGCCCGTGGAGTTGTCCTGCGGGCCGTTCCCGCGGATATACTGGAAGCCCTTCCTGATGTCTTCCGTTTCCCTGACACGCCTGCTGTTGTTGTTTGCAGGCACGAGCTTTTGGTAGCGAACTTGGAATGGTACTGTGGGGCACGGCTTCCGTCTTTAAAATTTTTCTGGTAGTCGATCTCCAGAGCGCGGCCAACAGACATGGACTTGATGGTGTTGTTCATGACCTTTGCGCCGTCAGCAAAGCGAATGTGTTTGACGATGTTCCATTTTCCTTGTGCGAGGGGTAGCACTACCAGCTGCATAGTGAATGGGGTCAAGTTGTTGCCCGGGACCTTGATAGGAGGCGGAAGATCTTCGTAGCGCTTTTGAAGAAACGTGGTCTCTACCTCCTTCAAGTCTATAGCCCCCTCATACTCAAGCAGCACGTCCAAAAAATTGTACTTCCTTTTTGATACCATCATCGATTTCGTCCCTCGCCGGCAAGTCCCCGACCTTGACAAAGCCTACGGGTTTGTTAACTACCATATAGGCCTCTCCAAACCCACCACTTTCATGCCGTCGGTGTTGGTTATGGCTTCATCCCAGGTGATGTTGCCATCGAGGTTCGTTTCATCGAACGACTGTGCCAACGAGATCGGGCGACGGGGAGCGACCGATGCCATGCTGTGTTTTCGAACCTGAGAAGATCTACAATGTCACCAGAGAGCCTGTAATGCTGACACGAAAACCAACTGCCCCAGCCCTCTGAAAAACAAATGTCGCTAGCTTGCTGCGTCCAACAGAATATCTCAGCACTCTTTTTCTATGTGCGCTTGCGATTGTTGTGTGGTGGTTTCAGTGGATCAAAAGAGCCTGGTTTCAGGCTTAATCCAACATTAAGGTGAACATGTCCTCTGCCGTCAACTCAGCTTCCCTCCCATTAGGGCCAGGGTTAATCTTGAAGAAGATGTCGCGCAGGCGGTAGACGACACATCCTTACTGGGATGTGTTCATAGTGCGGTGAAGCAGGGTGAGACCACACAAACGAAAGAAGCAAATAAGGATCAAAATTCAGGGTAGGTTCCGTCCGGCAATGTTCCGATTCGTCGCTCCCACTCTGTGGGAGCGCACGGCACAGGTTCCCCGAGCGGCTCTGCGTAGTCGAAGATGATGCGGGCGATTTCGGATGGAACACTCCCGACGAACGGAGCTGACATGCTTGCGAGTCCGGCGGTCAGAATCTAGTTCCTGGGTGCTTCGAGCTTGAGCTTGAAATCGCAGCTTGGAGTGTTCAGATGTTTCAATATGTTGGTCTTTTGGTATATACAGGCCCAAAACATTGGGACCTTTCATGGTTTGTTGACTCTGGGATACGAAACCCATGAGAGGTCCCAATGTTTTGAGGGTTTAGGAGCTCAAAACCATGGAAGGTCCCAGTAAAACCAATGAAACCAATGTTTCAGGGGTCTCCAGGCTCGCACTCCCCCGAAACTCTGAAAACATTGGTTTTATTGGCTTTATTGGGACCTGACATGGTTTTGGGCTCTAAAACCTCAAAACATTGGGACCTCTCATGGTTTGGGACTCTGGAGTGCGAAAGTGCTGAGAGGTCCCAATGTTTGAGGACGTGGGAGCTCAAAACATTGGGACCTCTCATGGTTTTGAGCCTGTGCGAAAGTGCTGAGAGGTCCCAATGTTTTGGGATTGGGTACGGGACGACCGCGCGGTTTTGGGACTGTGTAGGGAAGCACGATTGGGACTGTGTAGGGGAGCACGACTGGGACTGTGCAGAGGAGCACGACTGGAACTGTGTAGGGGAGCACGACTGGGACTGTGAAGGGGAGCACGATTGGGACTGTATAGGGGAGCACGAGGGGGACTGTGTGGGGGAGCACGATTTCACCTACGTCGTCCTAATGCATGCCACGGCCCCTCGATGGCATAAAGCTGGATCGGCGTGCTGAGGTCCACACCTGAGCAGGAAAAGCATAAAAGTGGTAGGTACGTGGGGGGGGGGACCATATATATATATATATATGCACACATACACACACACACACACACATATATATATATATATACACAAACACGCATGCACACAAACACACACACACACACACACACATGCACACACACACATGCACGCACACCCACCCACAAACACGCACACACACACATGCACGCACACCCACCCACAAACACGCACACACACACACACACACACACACATATATATATATATATATATACACACAAACACGCATGCACACACACACACACACACAAATCCGTCAGGTCGAACTTCACGACGCGGTGGAATAGCGGCTCATCCTCCGCATGGGTTTAAATGCCGATTGTGGGGAATCGACGGGAGTATACCGGCAATTTTAGGGACTTTGGGGTTTGAGGTTGAAGCGTCTTGGGTTAGGGGCACTACCGAATCCCTCATCCGTCGCCGAATGTTTACGGTATCACATTAGTCTGTTGAGACTTCCAACTAAATACTGGCCATAATGGACCGCGGAATTTGAGTGGTCTAAGACGGGATACCTGAATTATTAGATTATCGGCTCATGCAGGGTTCAAGGGCACCTGCTGCATGAGAGTGAGGAAGAGGAGTACTATTCTGTTCTTCGTTGGTCGGGCAGGCGGGAAGGCACTGCTCAGTAGAGGCTGTGAGAACTTGATGCAGACTGTACTGTATAGGCAGAGTTGCTCACTCCGCTCTCGTCGACACACTATGCCTTGCCGTCATTGCGAGAGCCGGGTTCAGCGGATTCCGCAGGCCGCACCACCTTCAAAAATCCCACGACTCACGCAAGCTGCTCCCGGCACCGTGTGGGAAGCGGCACTGCGTTCGCCGAGCGGGCTCGGCAAATCAGCTCGGACCCCGGCCGGCCTGGGACTAAGCACACACCCAACCTGGTGTATTCCTCCGGGTGTCATCTGCGCAGTACATGAAGTGTTTGATTGCCAGGCAGGTGTGGGCTGTGTGCAGGCTTCGCACAACACTCCAGCAGAGCTTCACGGTGGCAGCAGGACCCATGCAAAGGGCGGCGGCGGGGTTCTTGGTAATAGGCTGCCGGGATTTATACTTAAGGCTTAGGATGGGTCGAGGCGGTCTTCTTCCACTCCAACACCGGACACAGAGTGCTGGCTTTGCTAGACTGCTAGAACATAATTAGCGCTATAGCTGCTATAATAGTCTCACAGACTGACCACGGTGAGACCCCCCGCAAGCCCCCGTACTGTTTCCAAACGAAGATCTGGAGCCCCTTCTATCAAGTCAGCTTCTTGGATCCTACCCAGGAACAACGAAGACCTTGAACCCCTTATCAAACACTATTTGGGTGTGTTCTTGTGGCCGACGGCGAAAGGATGTTCAACTTTGTGTATAGACCATACATGACCATACTGTACTAGACCGAATCCCCAACCCGTTCTCCTTCTGGTTGCCCGCAGCCCAAACGTATCGGCTCTTCCGCCCGACCGTGGCCTCACCATCAAACGCCGTGAACCCGGTCGTGATCACACTCGTCACTGACACCAAACCCCCCACACCCAAGTCTTCAAGCCCTCTGTATTAAACCACCACAGCACCTACCTGAGGACCTACATCTTGCACTGCCTATTCAAGACCCTGCAAACTTCTACGCACCTCGCGTTGTGCTACTATTGTACAGCTGTGCTATTACCTCACGGTGCTACTACTGTACGACCACGGAACTCAAAGACCGTAGTGCTTCTGTACTACTGAACCCTAAACCACAAAACTGATGTACTACTGCTGTACTTTGCTGCTGCACGCCCTTCTGGACAGCGCACCTATCGGCCTCTGCCGAGGTTCTCTCTTATATAGGGGTAATTAGAATGGGGTTTTGGGGCAGGTCGCGGGGAAATGATATGGGTGGGAGCCCCCTATCACAAACAGTGCAACATGAGCCCAAGCAGCAATTGATTCCAAACAGCTTCAAACCCAGAGCCCCGACGTCTAAACTCTTGAGCATTCAGCGTTTCGAACCATGACAAACCCCAAAGCCCGCACACCGTGAACCGGCGCCTGGTTTACAATGGGAAACTCCAAGGTGGGAAAGTCGGATGCCAAACATCGCTCTTCGACCTTTGCTCGCAGACATTTTGGACTCGCAGGTATGATGTGTCCTTCCGCATTCAGAAGAATCAGGGCATAGAACCAACGGACAACGGGCTACAACAACCCCCCGCCAGGCAGGCAACTAGCCAATGCCCCTGAAACCTACAGGATCTGTGAGCTGCCGGGGCGCAGTCTTGGTGATCAGGTCGAAGCGATACTCATAAAGCATCTTTCGATTCTCCCCTCGTGGCAAGGCTTGCGACATGGATGTGTGCACACATGTTGCTCAAGTCGAAAACACATCGTTCGCTGACTGCTAAAGAGTAGCAGTTGTACGACACAGTGCCTCTCCATGAGCATGACACGCGTGCATACATACACACCGCACCACTCTGTGTTCGCTCATATCGGGTGCTTAGGATGTTTGACATGTGTGCATGTGTGTGTGTGTGTGCGTGTCGGTGGGTAGGTGGGTTGTTGCTGGCTCCATTGGACTGCACCACAAAAGCGCACGCCTTGAGACTCGTTCCCACAGGGAAAGCATGTTGTAGTTTAGCGGGTATACTCATGTTGCACATCCCCGGACACAGGGTCACCCTACACCCTGCACCCTAACCTCCACGGTTTAGGGTTTATGTTCTGTAGGCCCTCAACATCCTAATGGAGTATACTCACAAGCCGACAAGTCCCTGAGCGCCTCGCCTAGAACGTTGGACCGCTGGTTTGCTTTGACGTTTCCAGACATGTCAATCTCATCCCAGCGCACGACGACCAGAACCACGCAGTTCTGATCTTCCCAGGCATTGGCAAGATGGAAGATCCAGCCTCAGACTCTAAATGCTTACTGAGTCTCGTATCCCTTTGTTGAAAATGGGTGTAAAGAGCTGAGGCAGAAAGATCTACCGCCTACAGACCCCTGTTGGGTTCGACGGATCCTCACCGTTGTGGCAGGGCATTCGGGCCTTCAGAGCAAGCGGTATGGTTCGAAACCTCCACCCTCCCCAAAACAGGAGTCAGCGGCTTCAGGCAAAGCAAAGTCTTCTCAATGCACGCATGATCATCTGTCCCAGCGGCCTCGAAGCCAAAAGACTGGTGTACTCTTAATGCTACTTCCTAGAAGCCCCCGCGACCATCCTGTACCGAAGCTCGGACCTTTTGAAGAGCCCACCCTAAACCCGAACACCGTAAATCCTGAGAACCCTACATGAGAAGACCTACAAATTCACACTGCAAGAGCCCATTTACGTAAAAAAAACTCAGCCAACACTGGGAGCAAGTTGCAAGGCTCAATGGGGAACCACACAGGCTCAACCCGGCCACCAGCACCATCCCGGGGGAACATTCCTGCAAAGATCTACGGTTTAGGGTTTAGGGTCTACGTAGAGTTTATGGCTCTGGTTGCTGGTTGTTCTTTGCGGCGGTCTCTTAGAAGGTCGAGGGGTTTAGGGGTTTGCGTGGTGGGAAGCAACAGGAGCGCTGTCTCGTGAAGCGCTGACGAAGACCCTGTGGAACCCCAGCCATGAGGGCAAAGCAAATCGATCCTGTACTTTAGTGATGCTGTCAAACACTACCTTGTCGATAATGTATATAGGGCGCAGCAGTAAAAAAAAACAAATCAAGGGCAACAGCACTACGTGGCAGGTTCCTGCCGCCATCCTACGACCTGAACACATACCTGACATACCTTCCTGCACACCTCTCGTTTACCTTACAGAAGAGTTGGCACCTCTTCCCATGCCGGCTTTCATCTTTTCACTCACACCTTTCTTTTGTCACGCGCCTTTGTCTGGATTCTAGATTCTGGTTACGTCCGTAGTGCCCATTTGGTTGCGACCCAAACCCACCCACTGCTGAAGCATTCTGCCATCCCACGCAGTACCTGTAGCTCTCGGCATGAGTTACCATTGGGGATTGTTTGACACTCACACGCGGAAAAGCCTGGCAAGGTCTGCAGGAATACCACTGTGGATTAGGATTTTAGGCTAGGGTTTGGGGTTTTCGACTCACACAGTATCACACAGTGTCACAAGGCTGGCATGGCATTCGAGGGCTGAGCCCGGGATTTAGGCGTTACGCTGCATAGGGTTTTCAAGGACTCTCGAAACCCGATCTCAAATCGAATGCCGTGTCCAACAGTCCTATCCAAGCGCCATGGCTCTTGTCGAACTTCCACAAGCCCGCTTCTGTCGAGAAGTGCTGGACGCCTGCTGCAACTTTCATTTTCGAGTGCTGGCTGCTGGCACGAGATCACGTGGTGAACTCCTGGCAGCCCTGATAACACCATGAATCAACAAAGCACGCCCGAAGCAACCCGACAACTACCTGACAAGCCCGCACTAATAGCAGAAGAATGGCCCACCAACACTGGACAGGCGATGACGACCGCATAGCTTTCCTGGATTCGGAATCCAACCCGACGAGCAGGCACAGTGTGTTCGGCTTTTTTGGGGGCAGAAATGGAGGGGGAATGCACGGATGTCTTTAGCTTGCTTTACGGAGTTTGGATCTCGTTGACAGCTCACGGCATGCTTTGAACAAGGACATCTTAACGTGTCGTTGGCTACACAATTGCGAAGACCTGCAAGCATTCGAGTCTAGCTGGCGTTCGAGCTATTGGCGGCGACATTCAAGGGCGGACTTGTCAGGTCTTTCGTTACACAAACCCAAAACCACAACACGTGGTAAAATCTCCTAAACCGGAATGGCCCGGTGACACAAACAAAACAGCAAGTCTCTGAAAGGAAGGGCGTCAGGAAGCACCTCGTCCCTCTTGAAGCATCTGAATCCCAAATGATCCCACGTCCGGTTTGGGGATTGCGGATTGGGCTTTCGACTTTAGCGGCTTTGGAGTTCACTTCACAGCGGCCCAAAACCCTAAGCCCTAGGTCAGCATCAGCCCCTCCGAAGAGAGTGCGCTGCAAGCTTCCGTGATGCCGCAGTCGTGGATCATCACGGCCTGTCCACCTGGAAGAACAGGGCGAGAAAAACATGAAAGTTTCGTGCCAGGCTCGAGGGCTGAAGCGACACACCTAAACCCTAAACCCTAAACCCTAAACCCAAAACCCAAAACCCTAATTCCTAAACCCTAAACCCCACCCCGAAAGCCTGAAGAACTAACTATGCATTTTACCAGCAGTCGAAGTCACCACCTCACTTCTTTAGGCTTTTTTTTGCTGCACCATGGAACTTCAGGGTTTTAGGGTTTAGGGCCTTATTTCTTTTTGGTTTTTTCAGGGCTGGGGTTCGGGGTCCCAAAAACCTCGGCACGGCAACTTTAGGGTTTAGGGTTTAGGGGTTTAGGGGTTCAGGGTTCATGGGAGCCCTCCCGAAAAGAACAACAACTCCCAGGTTGCCTGCTCAGCTAGTAATTACGGTTTTGGGGTTTATAGGGTACTCTAGGCTTAAGACGCAGCCCTAGGAGGGACCCCGACGCCCCAGAGGACCTGGAACCTCACCGAAGCAGCTTCTCAGAGTCTGCCCTTGAGGGCCGATGACGCCATACTTGAACCTGTGGGATGTGGCGTAGATTTCTCGTTCTAAGGTTTACAGCCTGAGGCGGTGCTGGCTTTTTTGCCAAGTCTGGCTGAACTGCGTGTTGAGGTTGAATTTGTGAGGCAGAAACTGTGCTCACACACAGGAGTGCAGACCCATCTCCCTTGACAAGAAAATTTGTTTGGAGGCTTAGCATTCGTGGGCCACGGATCCCCGCACCTTAACGGCTTACGGCCCCGGGTTTCCGATCGTTTGGTGTTGGGGTGTACGGGTTCATCAGGGTGTCGGGGTTCGTCGGCTGACTGCTTGAGTTAGGGGCCGTTGCTTCACAGGTCTCGGGACCATCACAGAATTTCCCAATGAGACCTATTCCTGACCGGAACCCTGTGGAGGTGGTAGTTTCTTTTTGCAGTGGTCCCTGCATGTTCACTGGGATACTGATGTGCCACGGCCTTGGTGTCATTCCGGTCACGTCGTAATTCATCCAGTGCAGATTCCCCGTGGATGGGTCAATCTTTGGGTGCGCATTCCAGAACCTCAGAGAAGTTTGGATGCTACCCAGAGACTCCAATATCCCTTAATTAAGGAATATACCTTAAATTATAGTAGGATCCTTAACATGATTTAAGGTATATTCCTTAATTAAGGGATATTGGAGTCTCTGGGTACTACACTATTGCGAGCTATCAAGCCTAAGTTGGCGTGGACCCTGAACCTAAACCACTCAACGATTCGGGTCCATGTCAGTCAAGCTCAACCTCTGGGTCTGTGATCTACCTGACTATTGCCGACAGAGCCAACCTGCACACTCACACACCCAAAAGCAGCAGACCTGCACCAGCAATGTGCCAGATCTTCGTCGACCCCGTGCAAGCACGGCCAATGGGAGTCTCGGGTAAGGATGATGTCTGTCTGTCGTGTGTAGCTGGGTGTTGGTGTGGGTGGGTGGGCGTGTGCCGTACCAGTACGGTAGGTCGGTCAGGCATGAAAGGTACTGGGGTGGGGTGGGGTACCTGCATGGTTTGACTATTCGGGGCGGGGCTTGCGATGCCAGGAACTTCTTGTACGGATACTGGCCGTTGGACTCGAGCTGACCGTCCACCATGATCCGGACCTCTCGGACAGAGGAAGGGCTGCTTCAAAAACCTTCTGCGGGGCTACACATCTTATCAGGTTGCTTTCTTCTTTTCTTCTTTCTCACACCCTGTAGCACTCTTATGCGCTGCCGTGTTAGTCATAGACATTGAGAGAATGGGGGTTTGGGGATAGGAGGGCAGAAAAGTCAGAAACGGAGAAGTCCGAATAGAGGAAACTAATCACGCGACAAAATTGCGAGGATCGTGATGGACAGAGGGTTTCATCATCGAAGTGGCTGCAGCAAAAAAAAAGCTGTCTACCCTAAAGCCTGAACTCTGAACCCTGAGAAAGGGGCCTTAATAATTAAAATAGGGCTTGGGGGGGGCCATTTTACTATACTTCTAATAAGGAACCCCCAACATAGTATTGGTAATTATTTAAGCCCCTATATTACCCTACGAGTGAAAGCCTAAACCCTCTACGTCTCCCAACCCTAAAACCGAAACCCTATAACCCTAAGAATCCTAAACCCAATACGTAACCCTGAACCCTATGACCCTATACCCCTATAGCCCTCTTACCCTAAAAACCCCATAACCCTATAACCCTTAGGCCTAAACCCTAAAACCCAAAACCCTGAACCTTATAGCCCTAAAAAACCCTAAACCCTATAACCCAAAACTCTATAAGCCCCTCTTACATTAAACACCCTCAACCCTAAACCCTAAACCCTAAACCCTGAAGCCTCTCCCTACACCCGCCCCACGAAACCCGGGAGCTGAAAAGCGGCACCTCGAGGGGAGGGTCGGACTCAGCCAAGGCCAGGAGCTTGGAGCTATGGTACCTTCTCTTTTAAAGCACCTATGGTACTTTTAGGGTTTAGGGTTTAGGGTTTGGGGTTTAGGGTTTTGGTACCTTTAGGGTTTAGGGTTTAGGGTTTTGGTACCTTTAGGGTTTAGGGTTTAGGGTTTTGGTACCTTTAGGGTTTAGGGTTTTGGGTTTTGGTACCTTTAGGGTTTAGGGTTTAGGGTTTTGGTACCTGTTTTTTTTTTTAAGCGCCTATGGTACCTTTAGGGTTTCAGCACTCACAACTAGACAAGCAGGCGAGGATCCTTTAGGGTACCTATTTATAGGGTTTAGGGTTTGGGGCCACAGGATACCTATTTACACTCTCACAACTCGGACTCGGACAAGCCAGGCGAGGATCCACAGGTGCATAAGTCGGCGTGACACTGCAAGCTGCCCATGCATGCCACTATCCAAACCCTTAAAGGCAAGGCTTGACCCAAACATAAAGCTTCTATAACACAGTGGATGCGGGCTCAACTACTTCGAGGACATATGCCTCAAACGCGGACTACGGCTCGGTTCTGAACTGAGACGCTGTACGGCTAACCAGAAAGGCTACGACACCGTTAGTCATCAGGCAAAGAGTGTGAAGCCACCAAGCCCCGGGCGCATCTCAGTTACTACTCAGGACTTACGGTAACATCTAGGTGAAACGTGCGACTCCATCCGTTACAGGAAAAAGACTGTGTGTGCGGCCACGGCCGCTCAGTACCGTATGGCATGTTCAACTTCTTCACGCGGGTGTTGTCGTCATCGGTCATGCGCCAATTTTTTATGGCGCTGAGTCATCGGCCATGTTTGCTTCGACCCCCTTTTCAGCAAGCTCTGTTCCCTTGCATACCTCCATGTCTCGTGCAGGGGGCGTATCTTGTCCAGCTTTCAGCATCCACTGCCAGCGTTTGGGCCCAGTAAACTCGCACTCTGTCTGTTCGCGAGATAGCGACCGGACCGTTTTGTATGCCGAACTAGCAGTGAGGTGCGGGGTCACATAGTAGTCGCGGAAGCGGGAGCTATAGCCACGACAAGTGCCACGCTGGGCTACAGAAGTGGACCGGCCACACCCATATAAGCTCATCCGCCACAAATGGGTTTGTCCCGCAAGAAGCAGCATCACACAGCGACCATCAGGAACATGTCGAAATGGTCCGTCCGGCGTTTTTGCAATCTCAGAACCATCCAGTGCATTGGGGTAGCTTGGGTCGTCACGATCCAGCTGTCTGACACCAGCACAGGTCCAGATCGAGGGGACAAGTTCATGGCTCGGTCCATGGCTTCCGCTCGGTCGGGGGTTCGTGGTTTGCTTAGCCTACAGAGGGAAACAGGATAAAACATAATAAAGTCACTATACCCCGTAGGTCATTTCCCGGGTGACAGGACCACGACAAAGTACATCGACCGACGACGACGCTTCATCAGGGAAAAACATGCACATGCCAAGAATAAATTCACAGTCCAGCAAAGGCAGTCCAGCACAAGGCAACGAATTAAGGCATGAGCGCAGTTCACAAACAAAGGGTGGGGTCAGAGAAGCAAGGGACAGATGTCGTCGTGGAAGCCGTGGGTGCCGTTGAGCGCACCCGCGACGGCCCCCGGAGAGGGGTCCGTCCAGTATCGGACCGCGTGCATGCTCTGCTTGACCAGGGCGTTTGATTTCTTGGTGCGGACCGCGGTCCCGGCCCAGAAGACCTTGTTGGCGTCCTTAAGGATCACCAGGACCTCAGGGGCGACGAAGATCTGTGCGAGGTACCGGCAGCTGAAGAATTCCTGCATGCTCTTGTAGTTGTTAGCGATGACGTGTATCAACACTGCTAAGCTCGGCACGCAGGAGCCGATGTGCGTCGTCGCAATCGATTGGCCTACTACTTCTTCTTGCACCCAATCAACTGTAAAGTTGTTGATGAAGCTTGTGAAGTCCCTTGCGGAGGTGCCGAGCGCATTCCAGAAGCCGGTCGCGCTCGGCGACGCATTCAGCTTCGCAACCCCTTTGAGCAGGCGTCTCCTGTTGGTGATCAGCGACGCGAAGACCACCGTGGCCAAGAAGACCCCGGCCCGGTTGGCCTCCGTCACGTTGTTTGTCACCAACCGGATGAGGTTCATCCTGACATCGTGGGAGGTTCCCCCCCCCACTGTGCTCCAGGTTGGGAGATCCGCCACTATCGCGGCGACCACCGCCGCGAACGTGGTCCCCCCGACGTTGATGGTCCCCCCCACCCCGTTCGGCACTATCGTCGAGTACATGTCCGGCAGGATGACCGCGTCGGCCTTCGGGAAAATCGCGATGAGGATGTAGGTGAACATGAGCATCTTGATGGTGTTCCTCATGGAGCTGGTCATCATGATCATGCTCTCGTTCTTGTTCCTTTAGCGGAAGAGGAGGTGTACGTTCCCGATTTTCAAGGTGCGACACTGTGTGTGCAGTGAGCTTGAGCCAAAATGGCCGTAAGGATACCTATTTAGGGTTTAAGGTATTAATGGGTTATAGAGACTACTAGAAAGGACCTGAAGGGACTATCATAGGCATAGGGATCCATTCCCCCATTCGCTACTAAGCACCAGACAGTTTAAGGTATTGGGGTATCAGGATACCTATTTCGGCTTTAGGGTTTCGGTGCGTTATAGGGTTTAATGTACCTGTTTAGGGTTTGGTACCTTTGGGGCTTAGGGTACCTAGGGTACCCTAGTCATTAGGACCACCCAGTTTCCCTGAATTTAGAGAGCTTTGGCCAGGATTGATGTGGGGCATTGGTGTTTTCCTCGCTCAGACTCGGACAGTTCTTGTTTCAGGGTTCGGGGTTTCGTCTAGACTCCCTTAAAAAGCAATAGGTCGTACGATTGCATCCCGGGCACACAAGGCTGGTGTTGCTGGGTCCACTCTCGTAGTTGCGCACTAAGCCTGCGAGACTGCCTAGGTACATACTGCACTCTTACATGCACACACGCACACACACCTCTGTAGTCTACAGGTAGCCTTAAACTGAAGGACTGCGTGGTTCCAGTCCTGTGTGGTTGATACCGTGTCTGCTACCGATACTGGTCCCGGCTTGCTTGAATTGATTGACTTGAATGCTTCCAGGCCAAGCAACTACACTGGGCGAGGCGGTGCTCAGACAACAACGAGACCTAAACTTCTAGTGGAGCCGCAGCCTGTGAATGAATCCTGGCGTGCGTGCTTAAAGGTCAAAAATCGCTTACAGTCGTTGCGCATGGCATGTGGAACAGATCCCATCGCGCCTATCACGGAACAAACATCGCCAAACACACATCCGACACACAAGCCATTACGGTATTACCACCCATGTATGGCACACCTGGGTCGATTTTCGCAAGTTGGTGATAGCTCCAGAGGCCCCTTTTTCAAACCGGCCTATCTTCTCCAGCAAAAAACGGCCAAAGAAGGACACCATGGAAGTCGAGTGCGCCATTTTGTCCTAGGGCTGGCGGTTTAAGCCCGTATCGTCTTCGTTTGCTCTTCATTCTACCTGAGAGGGGTATGTTCATATGCCGACAGTAGGCTTGAGCAAACATGCCTTCTGCAGGACGAGAGATTCAAGGGGTAGCGCGACCTAACTCACCGAAAGCCACGTCCCACAAGCGACCCCGCAAGGGAGCTTCCACGTCAGAACGTCTTTAACGCTCGGTCCGTTTCAAAGCCTGCTCCCCCACTTTGACAACTGTGTCAAACTGCTTTCTTTGAGCTGCAAGGGGGGAACTATGGTGGGTGGTTCGGACCCTTGTTGAGCACCTAGGGCTTCAGGTCTCGAAGATGTATGGGCGTGTGTAGGTACTTGGGTTTCATGGCTCGTTTTGTCGACACATAGCTGGAAAGGTAGCATGACAAACAGTGACAGAGACCCCAATGCTAGCAGATCCAGCACATGTCTTGCAAGTCGTGCTTGGCGAGCTTCCCGAATCATGCCGACAAGCATCGTAAACCGGCCCACCATGCGCTTGGTCTGCCAGAAACTGCTTCGTCCGCAGGTAATGGTTCTGGTACACAGCTTGCCCATCTTTGATGCGCAGCGCATGGACCATTCCTGCCGAGACTCGGGCCATCTCTGAAACCACCTACGGGATTTCGATGAAAGTCTTGTAGGAACCTAGAGCACAAGCGAAAGCAACAAATGATGAATATGCCAAAAGATCCGTGAAAACCTGAACAGCCAAACCTGCGAAGATTAACCCACTCGTTTTTGAAACACGGCCTCAACCCGAAAAGCTAGAGTGAGCAACCTGCGGCGGCTGCGGCCTCCGATTCAAACGTTTAAACGACGAGTTTCCGGCGCCAAAAAACCAATGCCAGTTCGATGTCTCCGCAGGGAGATTCCACAAGGGGTTCCTGTGTTTCCAAGGATCGCTTCGGAACCCCTTGCCAGTTGCTGGCTTCGCATGCCCAACTGAAATCCACAAACACTGCAGAACAGGCTTCCTGCAGGATGGGTCTGGCAGAACCGATACTGTAACGGTTACAGGCTGATAGACAACGACCTAATTTCGCGCCGGTTGCACATACTGTACAATGGTAACTAAGACCTTAAGTCTTTACACTGGGTGCGCGAGAGGCAGATTCAATAGGATCTCTACCAGGATGCGGGCGCTACGCTTGCGAGGTAGAGTTTAGACAGTCCTGCCCCGTCAAAGACAAGTTGCTCGAATGAACCCCAAAGCCTTAGCCTGGCTACCCTCAAGAAGAACCACCGAGATAAGCTTGCCTAAACCCTAAACCCTAAACCGTTTGACACATGTTGCGACCATGGACTTCAGGCATGTCAAAGAGGCACTAGGAACTCACTTTGCACCTGTCCTCTGCCTCTCACAGACGTGACTTACATTCCTCCCTTCGGTGGTCCATGATGACCAGTAGCAGACACACGTACTTAGACTTGTGTGAGGCTTTGTGCTTTGGCATTCGAAAGGCTCAGGCTCCCTCGTATGGGTGACAGAAGGGCAACCGCTGAGCAAAACCTAGGGGTCTGCTGGTACCTGGAGACTCCTACAGGATCCTCTTGTCATTATACATATAATGCTTCACTACTAAACTCCTCTGATCTAGTGTGCCCTTTTGAACTGAAAACAACATCATGCTTTTGTAATAAATGCTATCATGGCTCCGAGTTGGACTAGAACTATGAAATCATAACGAAAAAACCATGATTCCCCAAACCATTAAAGTCATGGTGTCAACCGAGGCTCGGTCCATTTCGGATGAAAGTTCCCGAGAGGTCTGATGGCAGGCAACCCTCACGAATCTTGGCGACCTGAAAGATTTCCTGCAAGCTTTGACAGCGCTCTTTTGGGTTTCGGCCTTCGTTGGTCGACTTGATACTAAGACGTACTAGGGACTAAAGTGACTATAGGGTGTAGGCTTCAGCTCACCTTAGGGGCTTATGGGCTCTTTGTGCCGATAAGGCCCCACAGTAAAATGCACTCCTCATCCACTGGAGCGTATGCTCCGTGGAAGGCCCAGTGCTGCGGTGTTGTACGCTGCTTCGGCCTCCGCAAACCATCGCTGCGCAACGTAGCGTCGGCGGTGGCTGTGACCATGGCACTGACTCCGGGTGGACTCTCTGGATGCGTTTAGGGTCTCGGGAAAGAATCTTGATGGAGCGTCTGAGACCTGGGGTGCCCAAATTCTGAGCCGAAGACAGCACGGCACAAACAAGCTTATGCATAGCAATTACGCCATCGAATCGAAGTCAGACAGAATCATAAGAACCCGGCAAGTCCGAAGTAGTGCTTTTTTCCAAAGTCTCCGAATCGTCTGGCAATGCCCCTAGGAATTGTGCATACACCTTGCGGTGCGCGAGACTTGCCGGCTCCCGCTTCGTGCACGAAGCGGCTTGACAGTTTTCGTTGGTTTTGCCACCCTAAAAAAAATGTGCGAAGACCTACAGTTGCGAGGAATGGGAGCTGCATGAGCAATCTCCTGCCGACAGATGACTGCATACCTCAAGAGGGGTCACTCAAATTAGCTTTCTAGTTCCAGCTTTAGGATTTATAGGGTTTCGGTACACTTCTCGCTTTGCTTATGGGGTTTGGGGTGCGAGAAAGCAAGAGCAAAGGTTAGGTTTCCTTCACAAGGGCACTTAGGTGGCTTAGGTCCCGGATCCGCAGTCTCTGCGAGCCCACAAATGGGGGTTTCCGAAAATAGGGGACCCTAATATAGTACCCTAAATACTAGGATCCCTATTATAAGGACCCCAAAATAAGGTACCCCAATTTTCTGAAACTCCCATATTGAAAAACAGAAGCAGGTCAGGGGCATCGCGCCTTTTGGCATCTTCGTGTCAGTTGGTGCCGAG